TTACGGAACGACGCTCTCACGTAGAAATATGGAATCATGGTTCACGCAGGCGCAGTAAAGACCAGTGACTGCCTAACGGTAGCGGTGTGAAACTGTCACAAAATAAAACCGGAACTTAATGGCTTTGCCTTCAAAATAAGGGCTCATAATGGAGTTTGAAGTTAAATAGCCTTATTGTGTTTATACATTTATTGTTATGTAATTAAGTAAACTTATTTTCAAGCCATAGCGAGACGTTTAACTTAAGGTGKAGTGAAAGCAGACGCGATTGTTGCGTGTCAACGGGCTTTTATTTGTTCGTGTCACCGGAAGCAGTGGTAGTTTTACAGTCGGAGGATGACACACACGTTGCAGAACTAATTCAGAGTTTGAGACGAGTACCAGGAGCCGGTGAGTAAAAGAGCCAAAATGTACGTGTGTGACCGTCAGCCTTTTAGGTGTCCGGCTTCATGTAAAGATGTTGTTTTTGAGGGTTACAAACTGAGTGTAAGCTCTCTTCTCTTTTCTTTTCTTTTTTCTATGAACAGACTCCGGCATTGACAGCCTGGAACTGCCACACATGCGTTGAAGAAGACCCAAGACCCACCAGTGGATGACTTGGCTTTGTTTTTCGGCTTGTTGAACAGGTACTGTAAGAGGGGTTGGGGAGTGTTTGAAACAGGCGTTTTCTTGTGGTTAAACTCGTTCACTCAGTATTCCAGGATGCTATAGTTCCTCATACTGAGGACTCCTCCTGAAATCAGCCACATGACGGTTAAGATGATACATAAATACATACAACACATYTAAATACAAATACATGATTATCTTTTTTATATATATAACTGGCCAACTACACATTCGTGGCTCTGTCTGTGGAGCAACTTTTTCTATTTGGGTAACGTAGTTACACAAATCTGTCACTGACAGGAAATGTAGCAACTTCACAATAATTTAGGTGCATTTATTTCTGCACATGACCTGGAAGGTGTACAGATAATAAAAAGGCAGCGCTACTCTGACCAAGTTTTTCTTTTCTTTTCTAATATCAACATTTTGTATTTGCTTCCTAAACCCTGTGACATCKTATTAAAGCCAAGTGTTCCTTGAAGGAGTGCACGTCACCGGTTTCCTGTCACGCCAGGTGACTAAGATCATCTCTTGTTGAGGAATGGCAGCGTTAAAGTATGGCTGTTTTAAGGGCTGCAGTAGCTCAGTGGTCTGTGCCACCATCTCATTATCCTGAGGCCGCCGGTCCGAGCCCAGGTTGAGTCTGGAAGGGGCGTCGAGCGTTGACAAATCTTTCATGCGAGCTGGCTCGCTGTGGTGGCCCCTGAAGACGTGGGCAGGTGAAAGAACAACAGCAGTTTATTTGTTTTGGGGAAACCTTGAAAATAACATTCACCACCCACTGAGCTTTTACCTCATCTTATTATTTTGTTAAATTGACTGAATTATTGCCACTTATGTGTTGGCTAAGGTTGGTTGGCGGTGGTAGCCATCTTGAATTTGGTTGGTTCCAAAGTCAGGCAGGTATAGATGCAGATTCAGTGAATATTGTGCGACAATTTCATTAAAATTTGTCCAGTGGTTCATAACATGACAAATAAACAAACATGGGCAAAGGTGAAAACATTATCATATACATATCCAAGCCTAACTGTATTTGTAACGTTTTCAGACTGTCCAGTACCATGATTATTTTCATGTTTTTCTTGTTGTTTGCCAAATAACTGGTTTATAAATCATTCAGGCTTAAATGGCTCCTAACTTCAAAAGACGAACCGAAAGAATAGCTGGTGCCATCTTCCTGATACAAAAGACACAATTTGTGACCCTTTGATTTTTTTTTTTTTTTGCTAGTTTAATTGTTGCTAGAATGTTGTTTTTTACCCATTGCTTTAATCCTCCTCACAGCTCTCATCACAGTTAAAACAATCCGTTCCCCTCTGATGGAAGGAAGCTGCATGTCATTGGTGCATTATGTGCAAAAGAAGCATCACTGTTACTTTTCTAATAATTGAACACAGGTTAAGGTTGAGAACAAATATTAAAAGTCAATTCCAATATGTTTAAAAACTCTTGTTTTTTCTTTTAGCTCACAGTGAAACAGACACGTATGATTAGGGAAAATCGTATCCTGGCTTACATTTTAAATTAAAGTTATTTGATCACATTTAAAGTCGCTAGTTGCAACAAAAACATCCCCGAATCCCTCTCAAGTCTCCTCCCTTTGGTTGTATACATGTGGGAGATAAATGTCAGGATGTGGCATCTGGCAGGACAGAGGAAGGATGTGCCTCTTCTGCTGACTTCGCCAACATCGTCTTTACGTGCGCTCCCAGGTTATCTGAAGCGATCGTTCACTTTGATGCCCAGCCAAGGCTCTGGATTAGGTGATTATCTTTTGGTTGGATGGTTTTAAATCTGAATGCAACAAACCACAGCAATGATTTTTGCTTACAATACTCAGGGAGCACTTCAAGGAGTCTTGAGATGGTAGAATCGGACATGTTTACTGTGGTTAATCTGATCTTTATTACGGAGTAAAACAAAACAATTATGCATATCCAGTGGTCCAGGTTCTTTGTTTGGCTTGTTAATGTGCAATACTTTTAACACGTGCTGTGATTATTATCTCTGCAATCACGGACTGGGCTTGTATTCGCAAACAAATTTATTGGGCTGATTTGTGGTGACAGTTTTGCTTTAGAGGAAGAAAAATGTCAAAACTCAAAAGTTGAGTTAAGCACAGTGTCTTAACATTCCTGTTATGAGTTGCTTGTTCATGCAGAAAAGAAGGAAGGGGAAAAAATCGATAATAAGCATTTTTTTTACATGGATTCGTTTGTTTTACCCTCCTCTGTGCAGATATACAGAGCCAGTATTTTGTCCAGAAATACATCAATGGCTAAAAAAAAAAGTCAAGTTTCAACTTAAGCACAACTATTTTTGTTCAGTTTACCATTTGAAATAATGTTTTTCTCTCTGACTGTTTTAAATAACTTTTCTTGGCAGAACTTTCCAGCTTGTGGTTTATGCCGTTGGAACATAATTGCATAACCATATTTCCCAGGAAAAGAATAAATTATTGAATTGTATTTGACTGTAGATTTAAGACATTAGTTATCTTTGTGAGATCCTGTGGGCTAGTCTTTAATTTCCACACCTAAATCTCAGAAGCAGTATCTTCCCTTTTTATGCAACCTGAGCAGCTTTACATGTCTTTTATGAGCCACACCCTAACACTGCCGTCACTTGATAAAATTAATCTCCAGGGGCTGTAAAGAGCAGCTGCATTATTGAGACAAATTAATAATCAGATTATTCACTGCAGGTGTGCAGATTTGTCCTGCGTATGACTTTAATGGTGTTAAAAGAAAATAACAGTCTAGATCAGTAATAAATTTTATTATATCTGGTTATGAGCTGATTCCACATTTGATATTTGAGCTTTTCAGACTGCAGCAATCAATTTTATTTTACTTTCATTGTCTTTTAATGGAGGAGCTCTAATGCATGTGGTAATTCCACAGATAATTATCCAATCAGCTCGTCGTGGAGCGAGAAATCATGTTCTTTTTTTAAAACCCAGACAGTTGACGAAACCAGAGTGTTTAGAAGCTGTTCTGAAATGAAACTCTCCTCTGATTACGTCTGCTTCCTTTTTCGGGCTCGCCTCAGTGAGTCATCCTCCGTCTCACTCTGTCCTCTGCATCCTCTGTCCTCAATTACCTCCATGTCATATAATTGCATCATTCACCTCCTCCCTGTCTTTTTCCTTTAAAAATAGTATTTTAGGCAATTGGGTTAGGCGGTAGATTCCTCCCACACATAAGGAACACTGATTGTCATAAAGTTAACGGACTTTCATAGGGTTAGTCAGTGAAACATAAGGAGAATTACATCTGGTTTCTTCGCTACAAAGACTTCTGTGAAAGATTAAGCCATTTAAGGCAGCAAGAGATTAGTCATTTCTTGAAACTGGTTTGTAAGAAAACAAGGCAGTTTAACAGCAACTTTGACAAAGACCAAATTGTGAGAACCAAATCAAAACGTCAAGTGTGTTTTGACTTGTTCTTCTGCGAAGTTGTGAACTACCAGAGGTGGTCCAAACAGGGACAGATTGTGGATTGATGACATAAATGATTGTCAAGATCATAAAACTGAGCTATTTGTTTTGTTGTTGTTTTATCACACTGTATAGACTTGATGATAGCACACTGGAGTGATTTCACAGAAGATAGGCTATAGAAGCTGGAAACGCTAAAGCTGATAGGTTAGAAAACCAAGTGTTTCTTGCAGCAGTGATTACYTGTCCACACAGTGGGCACATGACGACATGACAAACTAGACACCGACCCTGTTGAGGTGTAAATAACCAGGCAATAATTTTCTTATATCTTTTCTTGAATATCAAAAAGAAAAATAAGTAGGTCCTCTGGGTTCTTCTTTAGTGAAATGTTTTGTCTCTCCTCCAAGAGACTTCTTCAGTCTGATGAGTTTCAGGTGAACTCAGCCTTATAAGCACTGCCTCCACATGGTGGACAAACAGGTTAGTCACATGCAAAAGAAGGCCATGGTCTAACAATAGGCTTGATTAGCTCTATTGTTCAWAGAGGGTCATGTGCCCCATCACTGACTTATTGGTTTGGATGGTGTGATTCTTAGGTGTCATGTCTTGTGTATGTAGTGAATGCAGGCGGGGCTCAACACCCCCTTGTTTTTGTCTCTTTCCCTCTTTGTATTGGTTATCGTTGGGGCCCTGATTCACACCTTTTGCTCACAGGGGGCTGAGTCATACTTACAATAACAGCTCTGTAGGAGGACGACAACTGGACACAAAGGCCTCCACCTCTGTTTAATGGTGGATGGTTTTTCTTCACAAAGATGGCTTCCTCTACTCCTCTGTCAAACCAACGTTCCTCTCTATCAAGGATGAGAACATCTTCATCCCTGAAAGAGTGACCGCTGGCCTGTAGAAGAGTGTAAACTGCAGAGTCCTGACCTGTAGATGAGTGTAAACTGCAGAGTCCTGACCTGTAGAAGAGTGTAAACTGCAGAGTCCTGACCTGATGATGTAGCTCTTCTGTGCTGGCTCATTCTTTTGAACAGTGGCTGTTTTGTTTCCCCAATGTATGACTGATCACAGTCCTCCTGACACTTAACAGCATATACTATACAGTTTGGGTTTAGGGTCTTCATGAACTGAGAAGAAGTTCTTGAGTGAATTTGAAAAAAAGTAATTGTTCCAATTTTTTGAACATGCTCAAAATGTCTGTGACACACAATGACAATGAGAACCATCTTGTTTTTAAACAATCTGAAAAACTCGTTGCGAATGCTGTTCAAAGTTTCGCTCCAGTAGTTGCAGCCGTGTAGAGATGATAGCAGAAATGTTGACTGCATTTTTATTTTTGTACGATAGAACAACAGGCAGTTACTGTGCCTCATAAATCCACCCTCGGCCAGAAAACAGGTGCTGCCTCAGACGGTTAGCACAGCCGCTGCTGCTTGAAAAYCCTCTGAGACAAAGAGTGAGATAAACTCGGACTGCGTGCAGCTGTTGGCTGTGTGAGGACGATAACAAGCACAGTCATGTCCCAGTGTGGGATGCTGCCAAACCCTGAGTAAAGTTAATGTGGCC